GGAAAGAGTATAATCATGGAAGAAATCTGTGCTGGATCTAGAGAAGCACAGGAACAAAAAAACAATTTTGAGGGCATACAAGAAAGAAATGATGCTGTGCAGCAGGCCAGGAAGGAGAACAAGGTGGAGCCCAAGGGAAAAAGAACACACATCAAGGACAACAGATTTTTTTTTTTTCAAACATAAGACCCAACTCCACCTAGGAAATTTCCCCTAAATAAGAATACTGTTAAACATATATTTACAAAACGTATAGATGCAGCCAAGGAAAAAACCAGGAAATTGCTGTTTAAAATCTCCATCCAACCCTCAAAGTCCACAAAACATGCATTTTCCTTTTCCACATTACCTCATTTCTATCCACCACGCATCTCCCCTTCAGCATAACATGTCACCTTAACTCTGACCACAACACACAAACTACTGGAAAAACTCAACTGTATGCAGACATTCAACAATCGCTGCTCAGAGGCAAAAAGCTTTACTACAGGCAATTCCTACCCTTAACACAAACTATCAATGAGAAGTCTATGCTACACACAATTATTTACCTCAGCACTAGACCACTGCAACATCCTGAACAATTAGAAAGCATCCATTTCTAACCATTTCACATGGTAGGAGTTGAAGGTTGCACATTTTGTGTGGAGGTGGAGGGAGGAGACATGTTGCCTGTGGGCGGTGGATGTGGGCGAGGTAACACAGAGAAGGAAAACTCAGGGTTGTGGGATGTAATCCTACTGGGTGAGGATTTAACTAGTGATTTCCCAGATTTTTTTAATGGCTGTGATGCTGGTAAAGGCAGTTCAGCAACCTTAGCTACATTTTTTAGCTGTACTGTTGAGGATGAACTGCACCTGAACTGCCGCCAATTAAATCAGAAGCGTGCATAAGAAAAAAAGGAAGAAACAGCAAGTTATCAGATTTTAGACAAAAGTTAGTATTTCATAACCTAATCACTTCTGGCATTCTGAAGACTTTCTGAAGACAAGCTGCATTCGAGTTTGAGAGGAGCTGCTTTGCACCTGTTCTGGTTTTTGTTTTTTATAGTATTTCTTAAAGTCTCTTACTAAAAGAAGTTACATGCCTTTGCAGTAGCTAGATTCAAAAAGCCAAAGCAGATACAAGACTGCTGTACTAAAAATGATTTTGAAATGCACAGAAATATATGACATTAAATAGGATTTTGCCCATTTAGATGCTTGGTACAGCACTGTGCAAGAAATCGGACACTTAAAAAAAAAATCCACAATAGAGCCATAACATTTGCCGTCCACCGCTCGCTCTGCATGGTCTATCTATAGAACCGCTCGGCTAGGCTAAGGTAATCCGGCACGTTTTATTTATGGCTGCCAAAATGAGCGGCAATCAAATCCAGAGCTGCGATTCTCCATGCTCTCTTACAACTGTGGCCCCTGAGAAAGCTAAGAAAAATGGTTTGAAAAGAGAAGAGAAGCAAGCAAAGCAGGCACCTGAGCCACTATATTGCATTTGAGGTTTGAGTGGAGGCATACAGCCCATGCAATCTTTGGGGCCAAAAAGAAACAACCTAGATGGGGGAGCCCAGTGGTTTGAGGAGGAAGGAAGAAAGGAGGAGGAAGAAAGTCTCAGGTCTCTTCCTGTGGAAGGTGTCCCTGGGAGAGGGCGCCACGGGTCTGCGGGCAGCTGCCCAGGAAGTCAAAACAGGCGCCCAAGTGCAGGCAGCCTGGACCCGTGGGCAGCTCGGCTCCTGCCCTACGGGGGCGGCCGGCAAGCGGGGCTCGCACGCAGCACAGCAGCCCCCCCACCCCGCTCCGCCCTGCCCCTGTCCCTGCCAGCGCCCGCGGGGACCGCGACACCTCCCGCTCCCCGGCCGCGCCGCGG